TGGAAAATATTTACATGGCAGCTTTCCAAGCTAGATAAGGTCTGTGGTCATAAATTCACCTTTGAAAGACGGTTTACCTTTGCTGAATGAGGGGAATTCACATTTGTTTAATAAAAGGGGTTTTGTCGGGATCAAGACTCTGCTTCATGCTTTTTGGGGAAGCCTGGATGAGAACACTCGGGCTCTCACCCTGGCAGAAGAAAGATGCTGCTACATTTGCTATCCTGGTAGAGATACCAGAGCGCATCAGAGCATTCTTACATTTCTGGTGTCTTTGACTTGTTCTTGCCGTTGAAAAACTCAGGAAGGGCTCTCCTCTCAATGGCATGGACACTGTGGAAGAAACACACAAAAAATATTAAGAACAGGTGGGGAGGCTGGGGGAACTCAGGGACAAAAACCTCACATTCCAGCACCTGTTGTAGTCAAACCAGGCTGCATAACTGGGGATGATAATGTGATGGGTCTGCTCGGTCACATTGTCTTCGTGCAGGTCAGGGTTCTTGGTCTGCTCTCCTTTGTTCCCAGCATTATTCTCCTCTTCATCCTGAAACCAGAATTCCCTTCAGTAGGCGATGGGCATGCTTGTGACGTTCTTACGACGGTGGCTCCTACTCTTCAATTTTTAATCGGAGGAGCTGGGATCTTGGAACAACTCATCCACAAAGAAATCCAAACCCGAAACTCTCCGTGTCTAAATCTTAATTCCAATACATTACAAATACAGGTCGAGAAATGATGGGAGGCTGGCGTACGGGGGGGGGGGGGAGCGCTAAGCAATGAGATAGAAATCTCATTGTGAGAAGAAATCTTATGAGCGCACAAAGACACAAAGGTTATTATGGGGTGGTGTTACAGATCTCCAAGGAAATGATTGTCAGTATGATGAGGCATGGGTATATAACTGGAATGAGGTCACTTCTATCGTGATCAAACTAAGAAAAGCAGAGAGGAGAGGAGTGTATGGAGCTAGAAGGGGAGGGAAAGAGTAGAAGATCTAGTTGAATCATCTTTTACTGATTACAGAAAGTCCTTATTTAATGATCATTTGTTCAGCGACCCTTCAAAATGACAGCAGCACTGAATAAATGATATTCGTTCTCAAAGTTATAGCGGTTGCAATGGTCCTACAGTCAGGTGATCAAAATCCAGGCACTTGGCAGCCCACCCACACTTACAAGCACAGGAGTGCTTCAACTCTCTCACCCTATTGCTCTCCATCTCTGCCAGGTGCCCCAATTCAAAGTCCCAGCCATCACAGCCATGCTTAGTGGACCTTCACTGTCGCTGTCTCTGCTGCTGGCCATGCCAGGCTTTCTTCCTGATGCCACTTCACACCGTTCTCCAAATAGCGTGCACCGTTCTCAGGATGCATTGGAAAGCCCTCTGAAACGTTTCTGAGGCCTTTTGAAGCCTAATGAGAAAGCCGCACCCACTCTCCTCCAGATCGCATGTGCTGTCTTTGCGATGGCTTTGGAAGGCCTCAGAAGTATTCTGAAATATCACGAGAACAGCATGCACTGTTTAGAGAACAGTGGGTGTTGCTTGGAGAATGGCATGGATAGCCTGGGGAAGCAGGCCTGGTGCAGCCAGCAGTGAGTGCTTTCAGCAGGGAGAGGAAAGATGTCAGCTAGGCACAGCAGGGTGGCTGGAGCTTTGCACTATGGTGCTAAGGTGGCTGTCCAGGGAATAGAGTTGAGGTGATGCTCCTTGGCTGTGGCAGCACTAGGGTTAGCAATAGCAATAGCAATAGCAA